GTGGGTTGTTAGGGTTTGGAGGTCGACGGCGAGGAGCTTTACGTGGATTGAGGTGAGGGAGTCCATGGGAGCAAAGAGGATTGAGTTGAACGGGAGGAGTTAGAAAGAGGGGTGAATTTCACAAAACAGGCGCCTGTACTTTGGGGGTGCTGCACATAACCCCCTCCACTTTGTCTATTTCGCGTAACTAGGGGCGTTGAACCGTATTCATATCCGAGAAAATATTCGTTACCATATCCGTTATGATACAAATATGGTTACTCAAATTTATAACCAATATGATACGGTTACAAATATAATTTTGTAGTGGAACACCCGAATCCGTATCCTACATATCCAAATACATAACAATAATATTGTTACAATAGTTTTAGTTTTTAGATTATGGATATAAGGTTAATTTTGATTATCAAGATGTCTAATCTTAGACTTTTAGATATAATGAGCATATTAATGAACTCTTTTGTATCTCATGAACTATATTTTTTTAGTACTATCTAGCTTTCTCGTATTGGTTTTATATCTGCATGCACATCCGCTTATATGTTCACTTATTCGTATCCGCTCTTAGTGGATATGGATACGAATTTTGAAGTTGGTACTTTGACACACAACAACACTTCGACACACGACAACGACAATTTTGGGGTCAGACAACAAAAATTACGAGGGAATAAAGAATACATGAATGATAAATGAAAGATCCCCAGCCGTTGTAAATTACGAATTTATTGAATAATGCACCTTTTATCGTCCAAAAAGACGCACCAACAATGTCTCTCTACCATGGGGGGAAAAATCACAGCCACATCTTCAGCCAGAGACACTTTTTACCTTCCAGATTGTGCCAGCTATCAACCCAGTACATAAGAGAGGTTCAAGAACAGAACTAGTTAAACAAAAGGTTAGCATTGTTCTCTAAGAACGATGAGCTATCAGAAGACAAACACATACCAAAAGGGCATCTAATCTATAGATAAAAAGAGAGCAGCCGAAACGATCAGAAGACGACGACATATCGAAAGGGTATCTAAATAAAAAGAAAGCAAGCGAAACCTCACCCAGAGCTTCTCCAGGTCCTCCTACTCATGAATTTGCACAGGACCACAGGAGAAGAGAAAATGCAAATAAACAGTGACCATAAATAAATAACATAACTTCCGTGTACCATCTCATCTTATCTCTTTGATGAAACTCTTCCCTAACATATTACTCTATTCAAATTTACAATAAGCACGTCAAAATACTGCTGGCTTATAACATTACAACATTATGTCAACATCCAAAGCAGCAGGTCTCACAGTTGAACCAAAATCTCATGATAGGTCAGTCTCCATATCAGTACAGCTACCAAACACGGATTGATGGTTAAATTGATTGGTTACCGAGGCCTGATTAGTGATGGGAACATGAAGCTGCTGGTTCTGTCAAAGATGATATTTTTAGCAAGGGGGGAAAAGAAGGAAAATGCACCAAATCACCAATATGAAAAGCCAACAATTCAAAGGGAATTACCATCATATGAGACTCAAGTGATCTAGCATCATCAACAGACCTTGCAACATGCTGTACAGGCTTGTGGAAGAGCAACTGTGCTATGGATCGATCTATTGGATTTGTGTTGGTCTCAGCATCCACAAATTCCACCGATCTGTTGAAGACAAATGAGCATAAATGAGGCTCAAAATAGCTTATGACTTATTCTTGACAGATCACATATTATTTTCTAAAATCCAAGTGTACAAAATGTGCACTAGAACTAATAGGGAAATGAACTTTTGATTCTATTCCCAGACAAAGAAAACTTCACAAAATGTGCAGGGACATTTCATTCGAATGGCAATAACATGGACCGTTACATTTCATGGCATAACAGAAGGAAAATGGAGCTATCTATTCAATTAATTAGTTTCTTTTAACTTTTTTATTCTTATTTCTCATTGTCTTTAGAAAGAACGGGTGCTTTAGCTACACTATTTCAGAGACATGTCAACAGAGACTGCTTCATTTTTTAACCTTGTCAAAGAAGGAACTAAGAAAAATACCTAGATTAGCTACTAAGAAAGATACCTATTCTTCTTGATGCGCATTTTTCTTTCATTTTTTTGCCTTGTAAAAATTATGATTCATATAACAGATATGACGCAGCAAAATTACCAAGTGCAGCAGCTAATAACAGTTGTAAAATATTGTGAGCTAAGAATTGCTAGGCGGTGAATGATATAATGAAAACCAACGACTCAATGCTACATACACAATAAATAACTTCACGTTGCTAAAGTAGGTCAGCCAAGCCAGATTCAAAACTCATTTAAGCCTGATTAAAATGTACTGATCTAGAAGCATGGAACAATATCATTACAGGATCAAACCATTGTCACTAGAAATAGCTGACCTGGATTTTAAAGTATCCGATTGATAATTATAACTTTTGTGGACATGGGAGGATTTGCATGTTGATAACAGGACTAGGGGAACTACTAGAATTACTGATTCAAGGTTACAATATCTAAAATGATTTAACAATTGTAAAGAGACTGTAAACTCCACTAGTTCATCTACAAGCAAAGTTTAGCATGTTTGTTTATAAAAAGGCAGATCGGATGGACCAGAGTGGAACTGTGGAAGGCAGGTGCATTCAGCAGATTTAGATTGCAGGCTTTCCTAGACTTACATAAAAGAGTAATCCTGTATGAAAACAAACAAAGCCACTTTTGGGGTTGACTACCAAAGACCAACTATTTGCATGAACGCCTCTGTTTAATGCCGAAATCAGATGGATCAGATGAGATATGATCATGAATGATGCATGATGCCAATAGATCTTGCTTTCTACTTAAGTATCATATCAGCCTCATACCACATTATTGAATCCTTACATTTACATTCTGCTAAGCAACAAGTTCCACTATACGAGTTATAAGAACTATCACCTATCAAAATAATGACAACCATATGCAAAATCTACAGTATGAAAATTCTAAAACAAGGATCACAAAACACAATAAAATTTCCAGGCAAGAATTTGAAGAATGCATTATTCCTTTGATGCCTCCTTGAAGAATGCATTATTCCTTTGATGCCTCCTTTAACCATATGAAGTACAAAACCAAGACCTAGAAACACCAGGCATATGTAAAATCTATTTCAGTGGAAAGGTAAGATTTTCATAATTAATTATAGTTTACATAATGCAAAGATTCATTGATTCCTTGTAAATGTTTTGTAATACCCATAATTTCTATAAAAGATTTAACCTTATAGGTCTAAAATCCACATGACTTCACATAAACTTTCCTATATTTATCACATGAAATAGCTATCTCGTGAAATCCAAAATAGATTTAAGAAAATAAGAAGGCATTTTATGCATTTATGGCTACAAGATCCTCTAGACTATACTAAAAATGCATGAGCTACCTTTCAACACTGGACAATAACAGGTCCCCTTGATCTGATAAGCAGCACGCTTTGAGTGCCCAAAAGAACTTTGTTTAGAGCAACTAAATATAAGATCAAGTTTTTTTGTAATACATCGAAAAAACTTGAGCAAGCAGATTATATGAAAAGAAACTAGTTAATATATTGAAAACAATGGTGGCATTGCCACTTGTAAAGATCCAATGAACCATGTCCCTTATCGAATAACACTCAAATGAGTGACTCAAATTTGGTGGTGCAATTCAGGACAAGCATCCAATACGAACAATTAAGCCAGAGGATAAACAAAATATAATAGGGGATACTGAGCATGAGCTGTCACCTTCTTTAGTAAAATTGAATACCAAGGGATGAGGAGAGGACCATCGATTCTGATATGACTAGCAGGATTGGTCTCACCACTATACTATCTCTTGGGAGATAACTTAGTAAAATGAGTTGCTACCTCATACACTTTTTTTTTTGCAAGATAATATATAACTAGTTGGAATTCCTAAAAGCACCTAGAGTTGAACAAAAATTGCATGAGATAATTTACAGTCACAGCAGTAATAGATTCACAATCCGGGCAAACAGTGAAGTATGAAATAGTTAAGATCAGTGGAATGGAGAGACAGAAGTGAAAGGATGTGGTGGTTTTGGTTGGGGATTTGAGCTATGCTATATAAGACTCAAGAGAGATATACTAGTTACAAATCAAAGGAGATATCCTACATTTCTAAGACATTCGATTATGAAATGGATGATATGCAGCTTTCAAGGATCCAATTCCCTAAATCTGTCCATATAGAAACCTTTAAGGTTACAGTACTTCTATACGGATGGTGCGCACAAGGTGTATGCTCATGTGTGTTACAAGAAATAATAACCTTAGTGGTGGAATGTGTGCATTCAATATCTTATATATTGGTGACTTGTTTTGCTAAAAATTCTTGGCCACTGCCTTAACATTGCAACAAGCTCTTAGTCGTAACCACCCCAAAATTGCCTTCCTAAATATTTCTCTGGCACAGAACATGGCATGGGCTCTTAACTAGCAACTATTCCAATATTTCCTCAGCCTACTTCATAACAGTTCCCCAAGAGAGCATTATTTCATAAATCAACCACAATGCAATATGACCTACTTATAGTGCAACATGTTTCCTTAATTATATGATGACACAGTGTCAACTTCAATCTATCATCTAGATTTGTACAAGGAGAAATTTTAGAGAATATCCCAGTTTCTACAATCAGATGAGAGACTTCAAGTAAATGGAGTAATATGCTCAAGAAAAGTTGAGATGCTATTGCAATTGTAAATACATTGGACAATGTTATACATTAAAAAACCTCAGTAACTTACCTATTTGATGCTTCGGTACCATGTATTCCTTCCGCATCAGTAGTGCCGTCGCTGAAATTTTGAGTAGTGAAACCATGCCTTTGCCTAGCACTCCGAGCCAACCGATACAAACTGTCCCTTATGCATAGCTTTGTTCGAACATCCAACTGAAATCGACAAAAAATAGCTCATGTACATGCATCAGAATCTAAATTCAGCTGCTCAGCATATGCAATGCACATATGTTCCAAAAGTAATTGCAAAAACAGGAGACACCCCGCACATAAGTTTCCTATTGTTCAAAGATAATTGAATCACCTAATTTTCCACACCATAACAACACTTTATCGTGATAATACAAACAACATGAATTGGTGCTTTACTCTCACTGGATATATCTTACTAAAAGGAAAAGCGAGTTAGCTTCTGATCCTACAAACAGGTCTCATGTTACTGATAGTGACGTTAGAGGGTGGAGTTCTATAAAGTGATGCACATAATGCATAATTTATATAAGGAAAATGACCCAAGTAGCTTACGTCATCAGCAAAATTTCAGCAAGCTCCTATTTTTGTTCAAGCTCTCATTTAGGTTACAAGAAAAGCTTTCTCTAAGCAAGGGTCAATTGATACGAGTTGCCGTGTGAGCACCTTTGATCGTGGAATTATCAAAGGTGGGTTGAGGAGAAATAATAAGAATACAAGAATAACTCAGATTTTGGACGAAGAGAAATACCTCCTCTAGATTATGAGTATGTAATTTACAATCTCTCACAATCTCACTCTAGAATTGAAGAACGAACAGAATCCCAAACGAACCAGGAAACCCTCGATGAGTCGACTCGTGACTGAGATGAGTCGACTCGACAGAAACTGGAGAAATCTCAATAACCAGCGATGAGTCGACTCATGACAGTCATGAGTCGACTCAACCTGATGAGTCGACTCATAACAGTCATGAGTCGACTCACAGGCTGAAAACTGGGTACTTCGATTCTTCTGCTCGTCGTCTTGTTCCACGCTTCCTCCTGTGTTCCCTTATACTGTTTGACACCCCCTATTCTCATGCTAGTATGAGAATCATCTATCCTCAAGCTCCCATGAGGATCGTTAAGTTCTGAAGAGAAGATACACCCGTATCATGTGTCCCCTCTTTAAGAACTTGAAGTCCCGTTCAAGTTAGAACTTCAGCTGAGGAAACTCGCGAGCCCCTCCTTCCTTATTGAACCACTTAGCCTTGCTAGGAACTTGACCTTGACGTCCGATAAGAAACGACTCCTTCATTCCCCTTCTTGTCGTGGTCGTCTTTCGCTCCAAAATGCAGTCTTCCTTCAGCGGCTCCTCTCTATCAAACCATAAGTCATCAACATGCGGTAAGATCACCTTGTCATCACCTTCATCATCCAGTAATGGAGGCTCAAACAACTTCAAGTACTCAGCATTGATCACCGAATACATGCCTAAGTAAGGCGGCAAATCCAGCCTAAAAGCGTTGTCGCCAATCTGATCGAGAATCCGAAACGGACCATAACGAATAGGCTTCAACTTCTTGCCTTCTCCTTTTAGCCTCTCCTTACTCAATTTCAGCCACACCATATCGCCCACGCCAAAGTTACAAGGAACCCGATGTTGATCATGCTTCGCCTTGTATTTTGCTTGTGACTTCTTCAATTGTGCTTCAACCGTGGCATGAATCTGTGCAATCTTCTCCAGAAATCGCTGAGCCCGTTGTCTTTCATTCCCCTCCTTGCCGTCCATCGTAGATTCACTTGAAAACACGAGATCAAACGGACTCGGTGGTAAGAATCCATAACAAGTCTCAAACGGTGACTTTCCCGAAGATCCATGAATCGCCCGATTAAAAGCAAACTGCAAATATGGTAAGCTCTCATCCCAAGTCTTGGGATGCCTGGAATTATATCCCCGCAACATATGCACCATAGTCCGGTTGACTACCTCCGTTTGCCCGTCTGTTTGTGGATGAAAGCCGTGCTCTTCTTTAATCTAGTGTCCATCAGACTCCACAAAGAATCCCAAAAATGCCCGAGAAACTGGCTATCCCGATCCGAAATGATCGAACTTGGCAACCCAAAATGCTTCCACACATGCTCGAAGAACAATTGTGCTGCACCCGCTCCCGTCACGGTCTTCTTACAAGGAATCAAAAACACCATCTTACTGAACCGGTCCACCACAACGTACAAATAGTCATGCCCACGCTTGGTAGTCGGCAATCCTCCTAGAAAGTCCATAGATATGCTCTCCCACGGCCTAGAAGGAACCGGTAGTGGTAGGTACAATCCCCTTTTTCTGTTAGAAGGCTTCGAAATACAGCATAACTTACACCCTCCAACATACTTGGTCACATCATCAAGCATCCGTGGCCAAAACACATGTCGCCGTAGATTGAGAAGCGTCTTCTGAATTCCAAAATACCCTTGCACATGCGAGGTATGTGCTTCCCGAATCCATTGCAACCTATCACCATCCTCCGGAATACATAGTGATGTTCCACGATACAACAAGCCATCTTCTCCAAGTGCATACTCCCCTTTTTGACCGGTCTTCGCCTGCTCGAACACACTACCGAAGTCTCTACTGGATGCATACAGCTGTACATACTCCAAAGGAACCAAGGGCTGAATACGCGTCGCCACCAATAAAGCTCTTACCGGCGGACGAGATAACATATCGGCCAACTTGTTTGTCGCCCCCTTCTTGTACCTAATAATGATGTTGAAAGCCATCAAATACGACATCCACTTCATGTGTCGTGCCTGCTGTAGCTTCGTCTGGGCATGTAAGAACTCCAATGGCTTGTGGTCCGAGTGCACAACCACCTCCTTCCCTAACAAGTACACCCTCCAATGTTTGATTGCTTGATACAATGCATAGAACTCCTTGTCATAGGTCGGGTAGTTCGCAATAGCACCCGAAAACAACTCAGAATAATATTCCACCGGCTTTCCATCCTGAATCAACACCGCGCCCATCGCATAACTAGATGCGTCGGTCTCCACCTCGAAAGTCCGCTGCAAATTTGGCAACGCTAATACTGGTGCCTCTGAGATCTTCCTCTTTAGCAACTGAAAAGCCTCCCCATGCGTCCTTCCCCTCTCGAACTGAACCTTAGCCTTTGTGAGGCTATGTAACGGTGCCGCATAAGTCGAAAAATGTCGAATGAACTTGCGCAAATACTGGCAAGCCCCCATGAAGCTTCTCACTTCAGTCACTGTCTTCGGCGTCGGCCACTTTGTGATCACCGCCACCTTACCCGGATCTATCCTCCTCTGGCCCTTCCCCACGATAAAGCCGAGATACACCAACTCGTCCTTCCCAAACTCGCACTTCTTCCCGTTGAGCTTCAGCTGTCCATCCTGCAACACTCTAAATACTTTCTCCACATGAACAAGATGCTCCTCCCAGGTCCTGCTGTACACCAAAATATCATCAAGGTACACAATCACAAAATCCTCTATGAAAGGTCGCAACAAATCATTCATGAGCCTCATAAAAGTCGTCGGAGCATTTCATAATCCAAACGGCATCACCAACCACTCGAACAGGCCCTGTTTGGTCTTGAACGCCGTCTTCCAAGTGTCTTCCTCCCGAATCCTTACCTGATGATAGCCAGACTTCAGATCCAACTTCGTGAAGAACCTCGCTCCCTCTAACTGGTCCATAAGATCATCGATCCGTGGTAGTGGGTAACGATTCTTGATAGTTATCTTGTTGAGCGCCCGGTAATCCACGCACATGCGCCAACCTCCATCCTTTTTGGGCACCAATAACACCGGCGACCCGCAAGGTGAACAACTTGGCACTATCACTCCCGTCTCCAAGAGCTCCTGAACTTGCTTCTTGATCTCTTCGGACTCCTGTATCGATGTGCGGTATAGGCCTATGTTTGGCAAGGAACTCTCGCCAGTCAACATAATCTCGTGCTCTACACCTCGCCGTGGTGGTAGTCCCGTGATTTCCGAAAACAAGTCCGCATACTTGGCCTTCAAACTGTCAAGATCTCCCTCCTGAAGCTTGCTCAATGTGGACAAGCATATCCTACTCAGCTGTTCTTCATAAGGCCGAATGAACAATAACACGAACCTCCTGCCCGCATTCACCAACCTCTTAGCCTGAGTCACCGTCACCAAACTTGTCTCCTGCGGAAGAGATGCCGAGCGAAAAATAAATTGTGCGCCATCTTTGGTGAACGTATACTTTTGGGCCCGCCGATCATATACCGCGTGTCTATCCCACAAGTAAGGACTGTCCAAAATAACCTGGCAAACATCCAACGGAACCACGTCGGATGTGACCTCATCAATATATGACTCATGGAGTGCAAATCGGAACGTACACTGATTCACCACACTCAATCCCGCTTCCTTCTGAATCCACCCTAATGGATAGGGCTTCGGATGCCTCACCGTCTTCAATCCCAGCTTTTGTACCAACGCTTCAGATATCAGGTTCTTCTGACTCCCTGTGTCTACAATGGCATCCACCAAGCTAGTCTTGACCTGCAACTTCAGAACAAAGAGTTGCTCTCTCGGGTCGTTGTCTTCTTTTGTGGCCTGTTTCCCTGCCATAAGGTTGAGGCTGTTGTTGGGCTCTGTCATCCCGGGAACCTCTTTCGGACCCTGTGCTATCACATACGTCTTTTTCTCCTCCTTCTTCAACCCTTTCTGCTTTAGATGAGGGTACTTATCCCAGCAACGATCAGCCACGTGCTCTGTCTGCTTGCAGTGATTGCATGTCAATCCTGCCTTCCCTGAATCACCCTTCTTCTTCTCTTCCTTATGTTGAGAGCTACTCGACTTGTTTCCCAATTGTTTGGAGTCACCATTCGTTTCGTTGCCCTTTTTCTGTTTGCCCTCAATGGCAATTGCCTTCACGCTCGCTTCTGCAATCGTCTCGACCATGAACAGCTTCATCTCCTTACGGATGTAATCATTCAGTCCCGCCATGTACTTCATGAAGATGGAGTACTCGTCCGTTGCGATGTTTAGAACCATCGCCTGCTGCTGGAACTCCGTCGTGTACTCTTGAACGGTCTGATTGAATCTTTGGCGCAAGCCGTACCACTTGTACCAACGCTCCTCAAGGAACCCCACCGGATAGAACTGTTTCCTGAGTAGCTCCTTGAATTTGTTCCACGACGCTGCCTTCTTCTCCTGTTTGCAATAGGATTTCCACCACGTCAACGCGTGTCCTGAAAGCTTCAATGTCGCGAACACAATCTTCTCCTTGGATGAATATCCGTAGAGGGTGAAGTACATCTCCATACGCTCAATCCAATCATCGAGCTTTTTTACATTGACACTCCCATCATAGACAGGAATCTCCACCTTGAAATCTATCTTTAAATTTTGGTAATTATTTTTACCCCCTTGATGTCCAGCAGCCCTAACAACCTCGGTTCCCCCGTCCGAATCAGACTTCTCGCTCTCTTCATCGGACTCGATGATTTTCTTCTTACCCTTCGAAGAAGATTCCTCTCTTTTGTCCCCTTTGTTAATGAGACCCACGAGCTGACTGAGCGTCGAACCGATCGTCTCGATCTGCTTCTCCATAGCATCAAGTCTTATTGAGTTATCTGTTTCAGACATTTTCTCCTTCCTTAACTCTTGGGCTCCTTCCAAGGAAGTAAGGATCTCGCCAAGCTCCTTGTATTGCGAACGAGTCAGGACCATGCACAGGATGCCCCATTCGTAGGATCTGATTGCTCTGATACCAACTTGATACGAGTTGCCATGTGAGCACCTTTGATCGCGGAATTATCAAAGGTGGGTTGAGGAGAAATAATAAGAATACAAGAATAACTCAGATTTTGGACGAAGGGAAATACCTCCTCTAGATTACGAGTATGTAATTTACAATCTCTCACAATCTCACTCTAGAATTGAAGAACAAGCTCTCCAAATCTCAATTACAAGTTAATCTCTCTTGATTTAACTCTCTGATTCTTTAGAAACCCTAAAACAATCCCTTATATAGGTGTACAAACGTGGATGGCAATTTGGTAAATAACCAGACCCAAAACCAACAGGAATTCGTGTGAACAGAATCCCAAACGAACCAGGAAACCCTCGATGAGTCGACTCATGACTGAGATGAGTCGACTCGACAGAAACTGAAGAAATCTCAATAACCAGCGATGAGTCGACTCATGACTGAGATGAGTCGACTCGACAGAAACTGGAGAAATCTCAATAACTAGCGATGAGTCGACTCATGACAGTCATGAGTCGACTCAACCTGATGAGTCGACTCATAACAGTCATGAGTCGACTCACAGGCTGAAAACTGGGTACTTCGATTCTTCTGCTCGTCGTCTTGTTCCACGCTTCCTCCTGTGTTCCCTTATACTGTTTGACACCCCCTATTCTCATGCTAGTATGAGAATCATCTATCCTCAAGCTCCCATGATGATCGCTAAGTTCCGAAGAGAAGATACACCCGTATCACCAATCTTTTGGAGCACATTCTCAGTGCCAATTGAAGCCCAATTGGGAATTTGTTCCAAGAAAGTTCGACCTTGAAGTTTAGGATTGATTTATTTGGTTAAAACATTATTTTCGAGGTTAAAGGCTAACTGCAAGATGTGTCCCAAAGGCCATCTGGGCAAATAGCCAATGGGATGGCAGAGAATCTTTATTGGATCTATTTTCAGGTGGTATGTTGAGCAAAAGAAATAAACTTTTGCCTTTGATCTAGTGGAAAGATGGAATGTCCAGCAATGCCACATACAGCTTATTAACTTGAGGGCCTTAATTATCTACAATATGATATGGATTTCTATATGCCACTCTTTAATGAAACTAAGCAGTCATGTAGATTGTCAGAGATCCAGACAGAAAAAATACTGAAACTGATAGTCATTCACACATGGAGAAGAGAGTTAATATATGCAGTTTGAAATAAATAATTGTAATCTGCTGATCTATGCTTAAGTTTTTGAGAATAATAATAAGAAGCAGAGTCTTTCTGATGTATATGCACCTATCTTAAAGACACAGATTTACCAATTGACTATGTAAATGTGATCGATCCTACTACTTTAGAAACAACGTGTACTTATCCACTATTATCTCTCTAGAACCCTAGTTGTTCAACAAGTCCATTCTACTTACTAGGGATGCACACTTCAAAAGAGAATTATACCTGGTGCATCACATCCTGAATCTGCTGAAAGCCAGTAACCTTTGCTGAAATGTCATCAGAAGAAACTGATGCCACACCAGCGCTCTCCGTTACTGTTTGATGGTCCATGTCAACTGTTGAGAGCTCCTTGTTTACATCCTCCCTTCTAGTGACATCTCTGGTTCCAGATGGTTTTCTCTGAACTGAATTTTTACTTCGGAAAGCTGAGTGTTGCATTGGGTGTTCAGCAGTAACTGTGCTACACAATTGCTGGCCTTGATACAGTTTTTCCATATTCTCCTCTGGTGCCATAACTTGAGGCATATAAACTTGATCAGGAAGGTTTTCCAAGCATTGGGTGGGATGATTGACAATGGGATCCGAAACTTTAAAAGATGATGATGTACTGGTGGATCCTTTTTCAAAATCAAGACTCGAACTTATCTGTGCAAAGGAAACCTGATGTGCTGCAATGCCATAGTCCAGCTGTGATTGGCGATCAAAATTATGCATGTAGTTTGGTGCCAAATTATTTTGCTGCGAAAATTGCTGAGAACTATATATTTGAGGAGCTAAAACATCAGAACCCAAAAGCATTTGATTTGTGGATTGTTTTGTTCCCCTGCCTTCTGATGACTGCTGGCCTTCTAACTGCTTCATGTTAAAAAAAAGTTTCAAAAGGATAAGCTAACTGTAGCTTTGACAGTAAAAATGAATCGTCTAGTGAATGAATGCTGATTTAAAGAAATGAAATGATGTGATAAATGTTGAGGTCATTCCTGATATAGTACACACCTAGAATGTGTGCGCTTTGCAGTAGTTTAGCATGCCGTTACGTCATTACATGTGAATGTTAAGTAAACATGGAAACAATTGTAGTATAACATATAATACAACTGAGACATATTCATGGAGCTTTAACCCACTCACTGCGTACACACACACAAATGACACACTAGTAATGCATAAACATCTAACCACTCCCCTTCAAGTCTATAATACTGTGTTCTGTTCAGAAAGAGCGCAGATTAAGTTCTTATTAATCACTGACTAAAATAAAAATTAGCTATATGCATTATGAACATATTACCTTTGCATCAGTTGCCTCATTTTGATTCAAGCTACACTCACTGTTAATCTGACTGAGCCCCGCATTGTCTATATCATTTGCTCCATGAAATGACTAAAATAGAACAATAAAGTTCAGTAAAAGATAAAAATCAGAAGGAAAAAAGCAATCTTTTTTGTGCCACCTTTTCTTTGCCTGCAGTAGATCTGCCTCTAGATAGAGCATTGGTATCCAACCACTGACAATAATTTGAAGAAGTTGACATCTGACGATCAGCTGTGGCAGTGATGCTTTTGGATAACAAGTTGGCATTGGTACAATGGGAATCCGTTTTAGCGTGTACATTAGCCAAATCTGAACTTGAAGATTGGAAGCCCTGTTCCAAAGCAGTCTCTGATCCATAAATTGCATTTGAACAAGATGAGAACCACGAAAGCTCATCAACAGTGCCAGTTTGCTCTTGTCCAAATGTGGAATCCCAGTTTCTCCAAACAAAATAACAATATAAAATGAAAACGAAATCATAGATAGGGATAAATATTCAAATCTATAGATAAAAAATTTGGGAACTACCTGAACATTTTGTCAACGTCCTCGAAATTTCCAATATCAGGCCAATCATAGTAGCCGAGGTCTGCATCCCTGGTCTTTTGTTCACTTTCCAGGAAAGAAAGATGAGTAGAATCTATGGAAACACCATTGTCTTGGGAAAGGCAAGATTTGCTATCATCAGTCAAAATCCTTGTTCCTATACTAGGTTCTTTCGAGCACATGTTCCTCTTTTCTGCAGCACATTCATTTACACAATATTTCAATATTCTTCCATCTTGAGAAGGTAAAACAATGTCATTGGCAGTGTTCTCACCATCAGATAATGTTGGAACTATAATATTGGAAGTATGAGGCCGTGATTTCTCTAGGATGGATGAGCATCCATTTTTCGCAGAAGGATAATATGCATCTTCTTTGCCCCAAAGGGCAGTTTTCGTTGCGGAACCCTTACTAAACATGCTCTTTTCAACGTCATTTTTCACTTCAAGGTGTGGCTTCTTATGGGCATCACTAGGAGCTGAAGATCCATCCAACCATTCACCGCCTTGATGTGGCACTATATGGTCATCACAGCTACCAAATACATCCCAGTCAATATCTTCAAGCTGCATAAATAAACCTATATGATTAGTTTCCACTGATTATAAAAGTTGCTGGTGCATTATGTAGGCAGACAAACTGCTGAAAACTTTAAAGAGAAACTTTTCAGCTGTTTTTATATGGCAAACCAAAAAGGAGAATGAGGTTTCTAGATCATTTTCCAACGAACAGAAGGACACCATATTAACGCCTCAATATTGAGATAACCACAGACATACAAACAGAAAACTCATATGTCAAGGTTTAGCTATCATTTCGGTCTTTTCCCCCTTTGTACAGAGATAAAAGTGAGAAAACCCCATCAAGGTTTGATTGCTTCTGCAATAGCTAGCTTAAAAAGAAGAATGATATCTAAGAATTATTACCTATTGGACAATATCCATTTTCATCTAGAACAAACTGACAAGTGTTTATTATGGACATTCACGGTACCCTAGGGCCACTTAAATGAAGTGGATTTAACATGACACCTTTATATGGATGTACAGGAAACCTCCCTAGGCCGCTTTTACAATGCTGACAATCATGCATTCAAAAACTAATGTCCTTTAAGGTAATGGTTTCGTCCCTCCTTCAATAAGATCATGCTAATTATCGTTATCCTGAGAAGATGACCACTTATGACCACTTCTTCATCATTCAGTATAACACCATGTATTTGATTGCGCTTAATCCTCCCAACATTATACAGTCATAATTTCTACACATACCAATAAGCGGACTAACTAACACTATGACCTTGCTCAACATCAATTTATCAAGAATAGTTGATTGTAACAAGGTGAGGCTTCAAGCAGTTCAGGTTCAACTTACTTGAAAACTTCATTCACCTTCTATTTACAAGGATACCTAGTAGCTGCAAGTACGCCTGCAAACCTCTGCCTGATAGAGAAGTACAAGATCAAGCATTCAATCAAAAACATGATATCAGTGGCAGATAAACTCTAATCAAGATGCGTACTCACCTTTGACATAGATCACACATCTACCTGTTAACATGAATAATGCATTTCATCAAATTGCCCTAATATGATGCCTATTAAAATTCCTAATAGCCTTCTATGGCATGTTCTTCATATTCATTATTGGCTACACAAAAACATATTAGGGCCCAAGTATCCTCCTGTGCTTGAATTGAGTAATTGCCATTTTTGGCCCTGAGTATGCATTCACACAAATGTTATAATTCACTTGTCTATTCACTCATGTATGTTTCAGGACGAAGTGGTAACTGAACAGATTCTCAGCAATCTGAATGGAAGTTTGGAATATAAAGAAAGAAAAGGCTGACGTCAAGTCTAAATGGAAAAAAAAATGCTACAGCCAGAGAGCCTATTTAGAATTCAGGTCAACCTGCAGCATGCAGCCTTTTGCTTCCAAGAATTGGCATGTATTTTAAGGACAAAATCTGTATCGTAATTGATATTGTCCCACTCAGCATCAGTGTACAAAAGAAGCTCTAAGGCAAATATGGACAAGGAAACTGAGAAAGTCCCCATGACATAGTAAAATGGACATGAAAGACAACACGTTGGTCAAAATGAGCATCACAAACTAACCCTCAGCACACATATCTGCTCAACATTACATCCCAAATGTTCACAATACAACATGGCATCTTTATTACTATTATTATTAAGGTTTTTTTGAGAAACCACATCATTACATACTTACATCTTCAGTATTGGTAACGAAACACAGTTGAAATTTTTTGCCACACACCATGCCTTCTTCTAATTGTAATCTTTATCAACACATTTTCATCATGCGTGGGCATGTCCTATTTCAAGCTGAAGTTCTGACTAATGTCACATTCTTCTAACTTTCCTCATGGTTCAATACAAAAACTCATATATGTCTAAAAATTATACGAGGACTATTAAAGTTAAATTAGTGTTTTCCAATATGTTTCAATTCACAGGTATAGGTTTCAAATGACAGTACGACCAATAAAAATAACATTATCATTATCTTATCATTACCATCCTTAATACTCAAAGGTCAAGTTTTTCTCAAAATTTCAAGTCCTTAATTAACTCTAAACTTTCCAAACCCTTCCATTCTTCCACTGTTTATACCTCCAAACTGTTTCCAATCAGTTTTAATACACAGACATAGGTTTTAATTGACAGCATAATTAAATAAAAATAACATCATCATTGTGTCATCATTATCTTCCTAATTCTTAAAAGTTCAAGTATCCAAAAAATTCAAGTTTTTAATTACCTCTAAACTTTTCAAACCCTTCAACTCTACTACTGTTTATAACTCCAAACTTTTTCGATCTGTTTCAGTTCACAAGTATAGGTTTTAATTGACAGTTCCTTCAATAAAAAAAAAACATCAATGTCCTCTCTTCACTACCATCCCTAGTTCTCAAAGGCCACGTCTTCTCAAATGTTAAACTCCTTGTTTACCTCTAAACTTTTCAAACACTTTTCTTCTACAACTATTTATAACTCTTACTCATTCCCAATCTGTTTTAATTCAAGGTATGGATTTTAAAAGACAGTACAGTCAATAAAAATAACATCATCATCCTCTCATCCCCTAATTCTCAAAGGTCAAGTCCTCAAAATTCAAGTCCTTAATTCCCTCAAAACTTTTCAAACCCTTCCACTACACAACTGTATATACCTCTAAATCTTTTCTAATCTGTTTTAATTCACAGGTACAGGCTTTAATTGACAGTACAATCAATAAAAATAACACCATTATCATCTCATCATTATCATCCTAATTCTCAAAGGTCTAACTTCTAAAACTTTCTAGTCCTTGTTTACCTCTAAACCTTTCAAACCTTCCATTCTAAAACTGTTTTGTCTCCAAATTTTTTTTCCAATCTGTTTTAGTCCACCGTTATAGGTTCTAATTGGAAGTACCATCAATAGAAGAAAAAAAACATCACCATCTTCTCATCACTACCATCGCTAATTCTCAAAGCTAAAGTTTTCTCAATATTTCAAGTCCTTAATTAATTCTAAACTTATAGTAGAGTATAAATTAATAACCTAAAACAGTTATAAACCTAAAAATTCTCAAAAAAATGAGCAAAATTTCGATTCAAAGAGCATAAAAAAGAAATCTTTCTTACCTCCCCGAAGTTCCAACCTGACATCCCCCTGTAATACATTTATCCCGGTCCAAAGCTGTACAAATCCGTTGGATCTGGTCTCATATTTTTTGTTCCTTCAATCTAAAATCAAACAAAAAAATTTATCAATATCATAATCCATAAATCAACAAAAAACAATCCATCAAAGCCCAAACCCTACAGATAACTCACCTCAAACCACCAACATAGGCTAAAATCAAATTAAAATCTCACCTGAATCGGAAATTAGCAGCAAGCAATCAGTCCAGAACCAAAACCCTAACCCTAGCCCTAGATCGAGATGAATCGTCGAGGATTCTCTGCTGTTGGATTTCACTGAACGAGCTCTTGTTTTTTCGTGGCTATCCCCTTTTGTTTATTTCTCTTTTTTTCCCCTTATTTCTAGGCTTATTTTGTTTTTATTTTTAACTGAAGGCGGGCGTCGCTCCTTGACACGTGCCCATAGTGGGCTGAGGATAGCGGGTCCCACTCCCGAGCAATTCGTGGCTGAAACAAAACGAACGGGA